GCGTCTTGGGACGGTGAACTCAGAACTGTCTTCAAAATTTGCAGAACGATTCTCTGAACGGAGTTATGGAGGGTTTTATCCCCGCATGGTCGTTTCACATGCTATCGCGAGGAAACGTGGAAGCGTCTTTACATTTATGTATGGAGTCGTTCTGAAACGTGGCAGCAGAGCGCAACGGATAGCGAGCGGGTTTACTAGGCGAGACGTCGTAGGGTCGGTTCCCGGCAGGGTGCCTTTTTTGCTTTTGTCCAAGAACATGGCCGACAAAGCTTCTAACATCTCTGCTCGCCTGCACTATCCTGTAAGGAAACTGCGACCACTTTTTTTTGAAAGTGTAGACCCATTATGGCCTGAAAGAGTGCTCGTGCTTGCCCCCCGTAGCACATGTCATAAGGATTTTTGCAATGAAATACCATCATAATTCATGCTCACCGGGTTAAATTACCCCTGGAGACAACTTTCTAGCCGAATCTGATATTTCGACCTCACTTGGAAAATGTGGGCTATTCCATGGGTAAGAGCAGCAGATTGGAGCTTACCTACCATCGATGACTGATCTCGGAATGGGATTTCCTCCCGATAGTCAAGAAAATGATGCAGACGGCACAAATAAGTAAGCCAGGTACTGTTGTTCGCGAAAAGACATGATTGAAGAGTTATTTCAGCTCGAAGACCAGTCGTCATCAGTAGGCTAGCCGTAGTATCGCTGTCGGCTATCTATCAGTCATCCATGACCTCCATACCCCATTTTTTCGAAGTTGAGTCAGAAGCTCGGATTTTGCTAAGGTGACGTCTCTAGGGGTTATTTGACCCCCTTAACACGAATACGATATCTGTTTTGCGCGAAGAGCGCTGTGAGTCGCGCTACATGTGCCAACGCTTCGGCGCCAGCGCGCCCGTAAGAAGAAAAACAGTAAAGAAAAACCTCCATAACTCCGCTCAGAGAATCGTTCTGCAAATTTTGAAGACAGTTCTGAGTTCACCGTGTCAAGATGAGTACAGTGATGTGCATCTCATTGCAAATGGCCAGGCTGACCTGTTGACCTTTCCTGGTTAGTACAGCTAGCTCGCGCCGAAGCTGCCTCATCCACAAGCAGTGAATGCTGACGCTACCTTTTCTGTTTTGGAAATGCCATATAGTTTCCGATCATGATGGTCATTTTGACACCGCCATTTATTCCGATACTGTGCCCCTAGGCATGCACTCTGTAAGTCTTGAAAAAGAACCGACAATATCCGTGCTTTCTCATAGCGGACTATAGAAAGACGAATTTTTGCTCCGCTGCGGCCCTTCAAGTATGTACGGTGAAGCTGATCATTCCTTTCATGTAGAACTTTACATACATTCATATTAAACTTTGCAGATTATACACTGTTTGATTTTAGGGCGAAGGATTTTTGTGTGAAATTTCTTTGAGTTTCCTTATGTTGTTTCATTATTGGGTTGCCCTTGATCGTTAGTTTGAGTGTTCTTTATTTCTTTCTGCAGTAGTGTGGCCCTCTACCGTGGGGTTCCTTGTTTAGATGCCTTAATCTTGGTGACTATTTTTATCCAGAGCCGCCTTGCCGTTTATGTCATTTATGTGTGGCTAAGCCGTTTTGCCAGAATTTCTTTCGTGTTGATTAAATTTTTACGTCGTCTATCAAAATGTGATTGAATAAATAATCCAATAGCAATTGCCTCCACTTTTACACTGTTCAGAACGGTACGTCTAAGCAAACGCTTGGGCGTTTCGGGAGCTGGTTTTGACGCGGCTCCAACCAGTTTCCACCGGGAGACGGACAAGAGAATCGTAGGTTGCCGCTCCGCCGCGTGGCGATGGGCGCGGTGTTTTCGTAACTCGTCTCAACCTATCGATTGGAGCACTGGGCTTCATGTGAACCTTGTCATCGTAGACATTCATGACTATTTTTCGATTCTGAATTCCTATTAGTCGCCATCTACTTCCTGGACCATTCCTTGTGGGGTGCGACGTCGCACGCGACACCCACAAGCGCGGCGAACTACGATTCTCTTGCCACATACCCGTTTCCATCAGTTTTTGTCGCCTGCAGACACCCATATTTGCTAGATTCGGCCCCCTGGAACGTCCCAGCTACCGCAGCGAACAAAAGTGTGCAAAAAATTCACTGAAGTTCTGTTTAGTTATGGAGGTTACTACACTGCCTTATAATGCATATGGCACTTTCGGCACCGGCGCCACCTTTTCCACCCTTTCTTGCAATATAGCGGGTTACATCAGCTCTCAAAAAACGCACCAATACTCCTCTTGTTTGCCCTTTGCCAAGGGAGAAGGAAACAACCGAGGCGCAACCTTGGGGTGTCTGCCGTTGGCTCTAGTTGCGCACAAACGGGCGGTGAGGCGCGGGAATGCTGCAAACGTGGATGCATGCGCGGAACTCGCACCAAGGACAAATGGCAGCACTGCTTTTGCCAAATACCCATTTAGAAATGATGAAGAAAAGAGTGCATAAGCTTGACCGACCGCATTTGCCAGTGCTGATCCCAAAGCTGGGGAAGATGCTGTGGTGTGGGGGTCCAGAGGGGGAGGTAGAGATGAGTGTACAGTCTTTTTCGCTGCAGATACTGGGCGCAACAGAGGGGTTGGACTCGGCACGGCGCCAGCGCATTCTCACCAACTGTTGAACCGGAAAAGCGACAACAGTAGGTGAAAACGAGTGCGTTGGTGAGCCTAATCTCAAGACCCAAGGCCACACCATCGCGTATGTGATCATTTTTTGAAAAAACGACCCCCATTTTATTCTATCCTTCAAAATCACCTCCCCAATGCTACCTACCACTTTCCTAGATTTTCCCAACTTCCTACCACTTTTTCCATTTTTTCCCGAAAAATTTCCAATTTTCTGCCAAGAATTTCCCGTCGAGCGGGGGTGGGGGAAGGGAAGGTCGTCAGGATTCAATCATCATTTCCAACCATCGGAAAATAGTGCGTTGTACAGATCTTTGGCAGCACATCATGCTCAACAACCGGCCCCAAATTGCAAACCCCTCCCCCTCCCTGTCTCAGCCGCCCAGTATCCGCAGCGAACAAGACCACATAAAAAGGAAAGTCGGTGGGAGAATACAAAGGGACAAGTTTGCACGGCCCTCAGACATGCACCATCTGAGATGCGGAAAAATAGGAAATCAGCGAGATGAGAACAGGAGAATTCGCCGAACAACGACTGGAACGTGTTGTCGACTAATCTCCGCTTGTACGATCTCAACCTCGGATTCACGAATTCTCCAGTTGGGTGGGAACCAGTTGAATCGTGGATGTGTGACAAGACAATCGAATACGCCGCGCTGATGGACGTGGCGAGCGATGCCGCGTCCGCAAAGGAACGAGATGTCCCGCCGCGACCGCATTGCGTAATACAGCCACGAACTACGGCTGCTTTTCCCGCTCCTTTCAGCCCAAATCCATCTAGACGTCTCAAGTTACATTCCTTAGTGACATAATCATTCGCATTTCAGTCACCACTGCTTTTTGCAGGTTCGTCGAAGGCACTACGTCTGAACCTTTCCCTCACTAGTCCGTGCTAGCAAGAAGATGTTTTTGTGAGCTCATATCCTTTCATAATAATCACACTATGAGATTTTTTCATTTTCTTGAAATACAGCACGACTCCCCGATTGTGGCGATCCGTTCATACTATCTCTTCGAGAGAATAGAGGAAGTAGCGACTCAACGCTATGGCTGCGTTCATACTTTGCGTCAGCGTCCACCAGCGACCAGCAGCATTTCGAAAGTACCGCAGCGCCATGAATAGGCAAGTACGGATATCGTCTCGAACGCCAGTATCCATCAGCGTTATAGAAATGGAGAGTACAAGGGATACAATCCTTGTCAATGGAGTACTATCGGGCGCACAGCCGCGCTGCACTGTGACGCGACAGCGGCTGCGGCTCGGTGACGGTGAATCAGCTGATTTCGATGGAATTCGGCTGCAAATTCCCACTTTTTCAGCTCTTCAAGCTTCTAAAGTGGAAGGTGAGTTATTCTGACCAATTTAGAATTGTGCTGACTCTAAAGAATCTGAAGAATGACAGATTCAAATAAATACCTGAAATAAGGCAAAATACAAGGAAAAGAGCATAATAATCGACATAAAAATAAAGGAAATCAGAGCCAGTACAATTCAAAATTGGTCAGAATAACTCACCTTCCACTTTAGAAGCTTGAAGAGCTGAAAAAGTGGGAATTCTGCCAGGCCCGCAATTAATAGAACTATCAGGAGTCACGGTTCACCGCGCCAAGCCGCAGGCCCTGTTCGCGATCACAGTGTGGCGCCCGGGCTGTTAATTTCAATCGTGGAATATGCAGAAGTGCGGAATTTGCAGAAATGCCGATGGACCGATCGATCCCTATCTTCTTTGTCCGCAATTTCTGCATGTCGGCAAATTCCGCGGAATTTGAAGAAATGCAGTTTTCAGATCGATACGTATATATTTCCTTTCTGCAAATTCCGCAGTTCTGCATATTCCGCATTTCTGCATCATGTATGAACGCGGCCTTACACCCACTAGCATGTACGCAATTACGACCCCCTTGGCCACCGGTGTCTGAAGGCATCTGTCAACCGTTAACCCTCTCTCCTCCGCTCTTCCTCTTGCGTTTACTCGCTTTTTTGCATCAGTGGCTCAACGAAACAACAGAAATGCTTTTTCGTCTTGACTCTTACAGCGAGAGAAATATCTGCGGACAGACATCTCGACCGTAATTCTCGCTTTTGTTCGTGATGGCGGCTATTTTTGCTTGTGCGCTTTTTTGTTTAGATTTGGGGTTGTTTTTGTGTCTTTTTTATTTTACCATTTTTTAACATTGTCGTTTAGAATCCAAGTTGTCACTCGGTGGCACAAGTAATCGAAACTGGAGCCTCGCTGTTCTTTCATATACAAAGCCTCACCTATAGTGGTAGAGATCGGTTTGCTTCACCTTTCTGCTTCTTCAATAAGGCTTAGTATCGTTTTCAGGTAGATCCTGATCGGAAAACCTATGCGCGTTGCACACGTTCATATTGCAGACAGTTTTCTAATCGTAAGACTCCTTTTCTTTTTGACGTACGTTCTCAGTTTTCTTTCAAAACTTTTTTTCCTCCGCACTCTTCAACTATAACAAGCCTAGTCTTCCGGAGACGAGCCAGTTTTTTACCTACTTTTTAATGGCAGATTTGGCTGAAAATTCGGTTTTAGGGGTAGTTTAATCTCCTTTACACGAATATCACATCCACTTAGCCTGAAGCTGCCTGGCGCCCGCGCCACAGGCGCTGACGATTACTATCTCAGCCTTAGCAGCAGCGCAGGTAACCGTAGTGTCATCCATTAGCGCCAGCGCCAAAAATCATATTCGTGATCAGGATGTTGAATTACCCCTATATACAAGTTTTTAGCGGATTTGGTGATCTTGCCACTTTTAAAATGAGCTCGAAGACGAAATTTCTGGAGTCCAAACGGCATTAGCCGTTGGGCACCGCGCTTTTGGTGGGGGATGTCGCTCGGGGATCACTGTAATCATGTCTTTATCCTGCACAGGCCACGATGAGATTTGAATTGAAGAAAAGTATTCCTAAAAAGCCCATCCTGCCTCAATGAAGACCGAACGTACGGTCTCCCTATTTCTGGGAGATGGGGCGGACCTCTTTATATGCGATTCCCATATAACAAATAAATCCTAACCTTCACTATATTAGTAACACATGATTATGATTTCTAGAAACAAGTGGCTTTGTTCTGTAATGATCCCAACCTCACGCATTTCTCATGCCCGGAAATCTAAACTAGTGCACTCAGTATAGTCCAAGAAATTTTTTGCTGGATTCACTTTGGCGCTGCCACCGCTGCTGCCGAACGCTGGCAGTAAGCTATCAAGCACGTTGGAGATCTTCAGAGGGGCTCCTTGAACGTCTGAGGGGAAAGGGATCCACATTTGGTCTGGGAAACTTTCTCTAATTGTCAGTTCTTGCCGTTTACCTTTCTTCTTGCTGTTTACCGCGCACTATTTATGGAAAGCAAGTTATCGAGACATTTCGAAAGAATGACCAGTCAGTTGCGAAAGGGGGTGTACGGGAGAAGAAAGTTTGGGCAGAGTCGTATTTAGCCAAAATTCTCTCTGCAGTGCTGGGACTTGCCTCGAACCTAAAATAAAACGTGGTGACTAGCGCTTCTTTGCCAGATGATTGGATTTCGATTTGGTATTCTTGGAAGCGTCCTAAGACATTTGAGCTAAAATTACTTTTACCTTACTTTCTGTTCGTTATGGTATTCGTTAATTTGTTCGAAACGTATTGTTGTTTGCAGACGCTGGAGAGAGTCATGAAGCCGGGTTTGGCGCGAGGCCAGCCGGTTTTCCACCATCTGTGGTCGTCTTCCAGCTTTCACAGTTGGTGAAGAACGGGCTGGGGCCAAACCCGACCCCCTGACACACCCCATCGTCTGTGAGAACGGCTGCAATGAAACGCGAAAAACACGCGTTCATCATAACGAACCATCATTATTCATTATAGCAAATCAGTAGAAAGATACAACGCGCCTGTCAATTATTGATTGATTGCGTGCTTTCCAGGATGACGTCATTATTCTTGAGAATGTATACTCCTCCAAGAAGAATTTTAATACGTCCTCCCCGTATAGTCCGAGCAAGGTTTCGGTTTTCTAGCTGATCTTCACTCTTCTGACTTTTTTTTTACTTCTCTATTGTACAGTATTAGCTGCTAGACATAGCTGCTACTTTGTCACGAGGAAAAAGCGCGTTAATCAATTCGTGTTTTCAGGGTCAGGGCCAGTATAGATGCAAGTGCGAAGTTGGCCCTGACAATACTGCAACTGCGTCGCAGATAACCAATGGCTACAACTCCTGGTACAATAGCGATCGGAAAGAAATCGTTTCGACTAAAAAATCAGTCAAGGATGCATCTACGACTATAGAAAAACTGCCTGTAGGTGTCTAAGGATACTGAATTTTTGGAAGTCTAAGAGTCTTCAACTAAGTTCGTGCACCAACCAAAATACTTCAGATTTTTGTCTTATTACTACCATATAGTCGTATTGTTTCGGTTTTGTATCGTACAGAACTTTTACGACTCTGCTGCTTCTTCTTAACTCGCCATTCTCCAATAAAGTTCTTGTTTGCTGTTGTGCGAAGGTTTGAAGTGGTTTTCCATTAGAATGCATTCATAGTTTGTGTCAGCGTTTTGAGTGTACGCCAGAGTTTTGAGGTTTTTGGGCGTTTACGAAAATATAGGTATCGATTTAGCGTTTTGAGGTTGCACCAGCATACACAGGCATACTGCAGCGTTCTGAACAGTATATGTATTGATCTAACGTCGCGGGCTCTCAGACGCTGACGCAAACTATGAACGCACTTCTGTATCTTGTCGCACGAATAATTCATTGTAAAGAGTTTTGAGATTTGTATTTTCCAGACTTCGAAACTTATTGAGATTTGTGTACCACAGCTGTACTGGTCTTTAATATAGAGATGGAGTTGAAATTTCAGGAACTTGAAGTAGCGGACGCGTACTTCGATGAACATCCTGTGCTGGATTTTGTAGGAACCTGTTGCGGTATGGTGCGTTAAAAGTCTTTTTTTCCAACTATTCCAATGAAACTTGTTATACGATTTGTAAACAAGACCAGTTTTCGAAATAAGGAATCAAATCCTACTCAGTAATTTCCACGTCGGAAAAACGCTTGCAAAATAAGTTTCGAGATTGTCAGCCCTCTGCTGGTTTATAGTCACTATCACCTGAAATCAGTGAGGTTGTGCGTGCGGGACATGTGTTTGGCGCAGTACCAGCCCGTTTTCCACCAATCATTGCACCTTCAGTCGTTCAATGAGTGGTGGGAAAATGGCTGGCGCCGTCTCAAAACACACGCGCCGCTTACACACCCGGCTGACTTCAGTCATGACAACTGCACCAGCTGCCGATGATTCCCTAGTTAATCATGATTGGTTTTCATAGTATCTAATTCCCGAAACAGCCTAAAATTTCTCGGTAACCTTTGACTTTCTCCTTCTCTATAGCGTTGATTGGTTATCTGCGGTGATTTGAATGTTATTCGTGCGCTTTCCCTCATTTGAAAGCCGCTTAGCGCAGGGTCAAAGGTGTACGGCGACTCCGTGGCGTTGGAGGTGGCAACTGGCTCGCGGTAGGGGGTCGTACTCATGATCAGAAAAGCGGGAGACCAGACATATCGTCTTAGTCGCTGAGGATGCTAGGCGTGTCAGGCAGCTGGGTTTGGCGCGGCGCCAGCTCGTTCTTCTCCAGTTGTTGAAGTGGGGAAAGCGACAGCAGTTGGGGAAAAACGAGCGAACAAGGCTGTAGAAAGCATGAGGCAGAAATTGCACCAGCGTTAGGTCTTG